AAGAGGCATAGAAACAAAAAATTACACAGGAGTCGAATATAGTTGTAATTTTCCGGCAGCAACTCTAAGAGTGATATTCTCTAGCTGCCCACTACTTCGGAGCAACGCGAAAGACAGACTTCCACGTATGACCACTTCATTGTGCATATATCAGTTCACCTGCTCTTGCGGAGACAGGTACATAGGTCGTTCTATGCGGGTCTTATCAAAACGTGTTAGAGAACATCATCCAGCATGGCTGCAAAGAGGAGGCACTGGTTCAATCAGAAGCGCAATAACTGAACATCTCGTCAATACCTGTCACAGAATCTCAACTGACTCATCATTTAGAGTCATTTAAAAAGTAAACAAAGATCTAACAAAGGTAGTCTGTGTGTTTCCGACTTCTTTGTACTGTGGAAGCTCTTGCCATATGCATCGAAAAGCCGAAACTATGTGTTCAAAAGAAGCTAGTCCAGCCTTTACAACTACCATGGACCTGGTCTCTGTGTGTTTAATTTTCTCACTTTGCCTTCATTCATCCCATTTCCTTTTTTCAGTTATAAAATCAGTTATTTTTAGTTTGTTTCCATGCTCCTCCTGATCACACTTGTAATCCGTTTAGGCTAACCACTTAACAATTATATTCGACTCCTGTGTAATTTTTTGTTTCTATGCCTCTTGTAATCCATATATTCACACACATCTCCTAACTTACATTTCAAGTTGAAAATTTTGATTTCAATTCGTTTCCATGCTCATTTTGTTCACACCTGTAATTCGTTCTATCCCTGCGTCACTAAGCCCCTTGTAATTCATATCAAGTTGAAAATAATTATCACCTTTTATTCGCTTTTAAAACTATTATTTCTCCAGTTATCGAATATTAATTTTGCATATGTTGTAACTGTTTTTTAATCCTATGATATCTTGTCTCTCTAAGCCCCTTGTTATCTATAATTTCATTTTCTTTATTTCTCTTTTATTTTTATTTTTAATTACAGCTTGATTCCACATCGTATTTTTGGTACAAGTATGGAATTTTCAGCATGGATATTGGTAGCCCAAATTTCGCAGGCCGACCATAGATATCAGGTGTGCGTCGGCAGAGGATCGAACCTCGTACCATGTGCATGGTCGGCGAGAGTCCTAACCACTGTGCCACCGACGCACACAATACATATAATCTACATTCATACCTTCAAACTTTCATATCAAGTTGAAAATTATTATCACCTTCGTTACTATCTGGAATTAAACAAATAATAATAATTGTAACTATGGTAACTGATATACATGAACCAATAAGATGACAGACAGTAGTTTTTCTACTGTCTATCATTTGATTCCGATTGGTTGTAAAGTCATGTGACAAAAAGGTCATACATTGTTTATTTAGTTGAGTACATATAGCCAATAAAGGCAAATGAAAATAAGATTTGATAGTGTGAAATATTCCCATATTATGAATTAAAAGTCAATCTGAACGAAGAATATTCTTTTCAATAATTTCTCTTCAGGTTCTTACAATTATAAAATATAATATTTGTGGTCGTTACAATAAAGATAGCCAGGTATGCGGCGGATACATTTTCTAACGTAGAATAACAGATTAGCAGCTATGGGGTGTCAAAATAAATAGTCATATTTGTGTGACAAACGTGCTAGGCTGAAATCGATTAGAAATATTGTAAAGCGGGAGACAATAGTGGTGGTTAATCATAATGGAATTGTAGAGTGTGGGGTAGGAAAATTGACAAATCAGATCAAGGTTATAAAAGGTGTCAGGTGAGTGGCTAGTACAAAGTGGTCTGAGTTAAGCAGGATATAGTAAGACTGGAATGAGAGGATCATAGTGAAATAACGAATATATTAAATGAAACAGGTGGAGGCATATATTGAGAAAACAGATAATATCACTAATAATAAGTCCGTATAAATGAATGAAAATTCGATAGTATTGAGGGAATGTTTGCATAAAGGGCATAAATTATGACGAATAATAATAATAATAACTGTAATAATAATATTTATAATAATAAGTAAAGTAAAAAAGAAAGAGAAAAAAAACCAAGAGGGTTAATTGGAAGGAGCACTCTTGGTGAGAAGAAAAATCTTCAATCTAAGGTTGGCCACGGTAGGAACAGCGTCTGGACGTGTTCTTTTTGGATACATGAAAATAATATTAGAAACTGTATTGGGGTGCATATGTAAGCTGAGACGATAGTCCATTAGTTAGCATAGTCAATTTAATCTGTATAGGGTTTATAGGCAGAAAAAAATGTCATGAAGTGTTAAAGAACAGTTGGGTGATATAGTGTTGTTTTATAGTCAACAGAATATACAAGTGTCCTTGGCATGAGAGAAATGCGATAACCACAAAATACATACAAATACACAATAACAAAGGAGGCACCGAATTTGAGGGCTGACCGATAATGTCTAATCATAAAATAAAGAGACTAAATTGTAAAAAGATGTTACAGAATTGGTAGGCTTAGTATAAAATCATAAAGGTTGACAAACAGTAAGGGTAACAATGAGGTGAAATAGACTGGGTGGCGAAATGGATAATAAAGACATGATATCATAATGAAACTATGGCCCACTATAAGGTATAGTGTACACATAGATCTGGTCTCTCAACTTATCAATCTCTAAAGCCTCAGCTATGGCTAGGAGGCGTAATCGTGTGCCTCTGGGGGGGTGGGGTTGTTCGCTACACGATACACAACTGTAAATGACTCATGTACTTTGATGCTATGTGTTTGCTATCCACTAGATATGACAGAATTGCACTATTTAATGATTTGGTTGCTCTTTTCCCAAGCCAAATAGGAATATGTTCACGAATGCGCAAAGATAAATTCCTTTGAGTACGACCTGTATAACTAGCTGCACAGGAGTAGTTGAATTTATATACACACATTGATGTCGCCATTTTGGGCAATCTATCTTTAATGCACAGTGTCAATATCGGTTTGGTTGAGAAACTGACATGCAGTTTTGCGGCATTAAAAGTTCTTTCAATTGATCTCGTTAATCTAAGGTTTAATATATATCGCTGGCGATATCGCCTTTGAATTGTACATTTAAGTAAAGCTTTTTCTTACTTACTGTGCCTCGCTTGGTTTTATGTATAGTTTCATGGATATACTTCTTTACAAGGTTGGTAGTTAATGCACAGACAAAATAATTATAGTGGAATATCGATCAATATACACATATCCTTCAGTAGCCGTCCAATGTTCACCTACCAACTCAAAGATGTCTTACCTAACCTCAGCTCTTCCTCATGCATATACCATTTCAACTGTTCCTGTGGTTCAGGTTACATAGGGCGCACGATTAGGAAGGTTCGTCTACGGGTTCGAGAACACTTACCAGCTTGGTGTTCAGTAAGGGAAGTTAAGACCATAAAAAAAATATATCAGATTGTCAAAAAATAAAGCACACATCATGTATGTGACTACATATCACACACTGTACTATGTACTTTTTACTTCTGCGTTGTCTATGACACAAACTGAGTCCTGGGTCACTAACTGGTCGCATTCCTACTTCTCAAACAGAATGTAGTTCACTGTATACAAAGGTAAATCCTCCTCTGCTGTGCTCACTGAAGCTGGTGTCCCTCAAGGTGCTGTACTCTCCCCACTTCTCTTTTCTTTCTTTCTTTCTCTCTTTCTACATGACTTACCATATTCAAATGACATTAATTTTGTTAAATATTCTGACGACCTGACTGTATCTTTACCTGTCAAATGTCAAAGTGACTGCTCCAAACTGAATGGCATTTTATCAGAAATCAGCCAGTGATCCAAGGAAAACGGTCTCACCACCTTAAATACCTCTAAATGTCAAACAGTCGATTTCACCTTTACGCATAAATCTGACCTAAACAAACTGGTGGTTAGCACTGACGAGGTGTGCAACATAGATGGCATTGAAACAGAGACCAAGTCGGAAATTAAATATCTTGGCGTCATTCTATCTGATGATCTTTCCTTCCTGGTCGTCTCATATCTTGATGATTTCTAAGGAAATATTCCTTCCATCTCACCTTCTACATCAAGAAGTTAAGACATTGTGGAATAAGCCAACCCTTACTATTACGATTCGTTAACTCTTGTATCCTGCCTATTATTCTCTATTGTTCCCCTTAGTTTATCCAGGGCTGGCTACTGAAGAAAGACTATACCTTACTACGCAGGATGTTAAAGGTTGTCAGCAGGGTAAGCAACGTGCCACTTAACCAACCAGCTTGTTAATATTCTGGTCGACAGGCACTTGGACTCATGTGAGAAATGGGCTGAATCCATTTTATCTATCTAACTCACACCACCATCTTCATTCACAACTCTATCCTTGTATCTCATCAGGCAGGATCAGAAGCCTATATAGAAAACTATATGCTCGCACTAGCAAGTACGAAAACTCAACCATACCCCACTTAGCTCGTGTTCTGTGCGACAAAGAAGAAAGCATTAGGCGTGATACCTATAGCTAACTTATTAAATAGTCAGTAGAACAACTGGATCTCGTCTTTCCAACTCATAGCATTTATAGGAACAACGTTTTCTTTCTTTCATTTCTTTTTTTCGTATATGTTGTTTTGTTTCTCTCTTCCTTACAAACTCTACTTAAAACATTCTTCTTCGTTCTTTCACACTCTGCATATCTCGACCCTTTTGTTACCGCTTACGCCAGTAAGTACGCTAGTATATCTAATTTTCTAACACCTTCAAACATTCTGTTCACCTTTGGCTTTGCTACCGACCGATATGCTAATATGTTGTTGTCAAAATTAACTGAGACTACCCATAATCTACGTAGAATTTTATTTATTGTTAATGTACTAACTGGATGCAATACTGTAGTAAAATGCTGAGAATTCCATTCTGTATTACAAGCACTGTTTTGGGATAAAGCAAATTATTATTATCATTATTATTATGTGCGGTAGGTTGAAAACACTTCCACTGTTTTTCTCTTTTTTTTCATTAAATTTACCTCCTCAGGACGTACACACTATTTAGGTGAAGTGGATGATGGCGATACTGTGACTGATTGCCTACCAGAGGAGCGTGAACGGGGTATTAGCATTGTCACTGCAGCCGCTTCTCTGTCATGGAGAAACCATACAATTCACCTGTTGGATACACCAGGACATGTGGATTTCACTTTTGAAGTGGAACGCAGTTTAACTGTTCTAGACAGTGTCGTCATTATACTGGATGCAGTGAAAGGTGTACAAACTCAAACGCATACAGTTTGGTAAGTTTTAATTCTTGCAGTAAAACAAAAAAGATAGGCAATCATTTATTTCAATATTGCGAAAAATCGATAATATCGATTTGTAAAGTAAGATTACAATGGAATCACCACAGTTCATTAAAGATACTTAAATTATAACAGTAATAATAAAGATATAGTAGCAAATGGAATATCAACTAAAATCAGGAAAATTTCACAAAAATTCAAGATCATTCAAACCTAGATGACCAAGCGGGTAAGAATAATGTCTGCACCAACCAACTTCTTTTGGATGCACAAATTAGGCTTGCCAATCTGGATCCCAACGGCCGGCCAGCCAGTCTCAGCAATATTTACTAGTCGAACTCTTAAGGCGTACGAAATTGAGATTCGTTGGCGTGCGGTAGGTAAATGACCCTGACAGCCGCCTGGTTATCATCAATGAATCTCGTGTTGTGTATCCACAAGATGAGTGAGATAGAATAGCGCTGAGAATAGATTTTGTTTGTCCTTTACTTAACCAACCACTGTGTAGGGTGGTGTTCGGGAATTCGACAAGAAACATGCCTAATTGTGTATGGCCTATGCAAGTAACTGGCTCACTCCACATCAGGAGCAGTTGAATTGGTAGATACACATGGAACAGGCGGCGAACGAACGCAAAAGAAGACTGAGTGGTTTTGAGGACACAGTGGAATTCAGAAGCAGCACTGAATGCTCTTTTTACCGCTTCATTTCTAAGGCGCTGTGTTAGTATCTCACTGATGTTGTCCCCAAAGAACTGAATTTGTAAGAATAAGGCTTTCCGTTGCCTCGGAACTGTTGATACCTTGGGCTGATTTGATTTTAAATTCATATTCATATCAATAAACTTTTCTAGATAACCATTTTCACTCAGGAACCAACCGTTTAATATTATTAGGATCTTCATCGTGATCTGCGTAAAGGAGAATGATGCTCAGGAAGACTTCGTGTGCTTTTGGAAGTGTGTGGGCGGTTGTTACTTCCCAGTTGCCCACACCACTGTGGGTGCCTGAAATAGAGAGAGGGGGCTAGTGTTGCGTGACCACAGAGTCCAGGGACAACTGCTTGAGCCAGGCCGGTCACACACGGCTTGTATGAACTGGTTTCCTGGTTTGGTTCCGTATTAGTAAACTTACCGCCGGTTGCGGATCACCGTAGGGTGGTAAGTGGGGATGTACAATTTTTGGGGCCGACATTTTCTAACCTCCTCTCTCCAGCAGAGTGGAGAGACAGCATAGCTGGCTGGCATTCTGGTCATCTGAGGGAAACACCTTACTACTGTTACACCCCTGTTCCTCAGAAGTAGGACTTCGCCCTCAGGCTCAAAATCGTTGTCAATGGCCAGCGCAGATGTATTCAGTCTCTGTAATCTTTCATATTCCTTTCTACCATTACCCATTCTGTTTCACTCGTATACTTGTCAAACTCTATTAATTCTCTTCACTCATCTTCTTGTCTACCTCTGTGTGCCAATTGGAACGTGGCAACTCGATCTGGTGCACTTCGGTGCCAAGTTCTATGTTGAATCCAGACTTCGCCCTCAGACCCCCAGGAGAGTGTTAGAAAAAATTCTTACACTATACCGGTAACTGCTTTTAGTGTAATCGCTATTCTAACAACCTTCGTGGCATGGTAAGACCTGCAGAAACATTGGTTCCAGCCAGTGTAGCTTGTTGGGTCATCGGGAATTGTAAGCCCGATCACCACGTCAAGGCAGCAGCCATCGGTCGGCTCAATTGTAAAGACATTTAACTCAACATATCTTCCTTTATTGATTCTCTATAGGATAAGTTAAAGTCTGAGTGCTTATTAGAGTGTGTTGATTTCCTATAAATGCTAGTATCTTGTTGCGTTTATGAAGTAGGAGCACAGAGTCTAATGACGGACATAACTTCCCCCCCCGCCCCAGTTTCATCTGATCAAGGTATCACAAGTGAAGATACCACACAATGATAGTTGTTTAGCGTCCCATAGCCAGTTTTTGTGACCTTGCAGGTTAAGGTATACCACGAGGTCCTAGATTAGTGATTACCGTTGCTTAAGTGTATCCACATTGAAAGTAGTTTGTAAGCTATCCTGTTAAAAAGACTGTTTGAGTATTAGTCGGTGGCACAGTGGTTAGGACTCTCGTCGACCATGCACATGGTACGAGGTTCGATCCTCTGCTGACGCACACCTGATATCTATGGTCGGCCTGCGAAATTTGGGCTACCGATATCCATGCTGAAAATTCCATACTTGTACCAAAAATACGATGTGGAATCAAGCTGTAATCAAAAATAAAATAAATAAATAGTGGGGAACTCCGCACAGAAGTGAGGCATCTCATGTCGCCACACTCTCTGAAGCATACATGTGTAGAAGGAAAAGCTTCGAAAGAACTGAAATGGGCAGCAGTGTACGGGACGAGGAGTAATTGCACACAGAAAGCATGAAGACTGAATGGATCTGGACAGTTACGGAGGATGAATGCGTCTACGCCACTGAGGACGATTTTGAGAGATGTCATCAAAAGACTGAAGCCATTGGTTCTGAATGTCGCGGGGACCTCAGTTAAGCTGGCTATAGCCCCCCCCCACCCGCCTACCTGGCTCAAATAAACAATCAAAGACTTCATGGAGTAATTTCATATTTTCACCTGTCCACTCCTAACTTTTTTCCAAACCAATACAAATGTGTCAGTTAGCACTGCTCGGCGAGGAAGGCGATTGCTTTATATGCCCGACACGTATCTTAGCTATCTCCGTCTGTGTATAACTTCAAAAGTTCATTGGTTGACTTATCGTCCTTGCCTAACAGTCTACGCAAAGTGTTTAGGAGCCTTCTTTGTAGACTACACTGCTGCTTTGACTCTATCCCTAGAGCACTTTTACTAAGCAAGCTGATTTTGAGCACCCACTGAGTCCTGGGTTGCAAGGTGGGTGGCTGTCTTCTTACTTTTCCGATGAATACAACGTTACTGTTTTTTAAATGGGAAACACTCGACTTCGTTGCTGATGGAAACTGGTGTGTTTCAATGTAGTATACTCACTCTCCCTTTCCTTTTTTTCTTTCTTTCCTTTTTCATGACCTTCACCATTCTTGCAAAGCTAATTTCATTAAATATGCCAATGATCTGACCACTTCTATCCCAGTAGTTTTGCATCACATGTGACACGAGAGAACCAGGTAGGCTCTAAACCAAGAATAGGGTGTATTGATCATATCTTCACCCTTCGACAGATTCTAGAACATAGGAATTCTTACCGACGACTAGTGGTGTCAGTCAGGGATGCCCATTATCCCCATTTCCATTCAATTTCATCATATATGTACTAATGGACTTAACCCTAACTCACTTCAGAGACTCAGGGATTGACTTGCTACCACGTGATAATCTCTTTGACTTAGAATATGCAGATGATATAGTCCTTCTAGGCGAGGACGCTGACAAAATACAGCAGAGTCTTCTAAACACCTTGAGCTGCAATCTACGAATATTTGGCATGCGAGCGATTCGCTCCCGCCAAATGTAGGATGATGTTACAGGACTGACTGGACTACACTGACTCCTAGTTTGGAAACAGGGAGTGGAGTGGTTGAGGGAGCGGGTTGACCGCTTCACTTATTTGGGAAGTACCATCAGCCAATGCCAACGGGTTGATCTCTGACGAAATCTCAGCTGAGTACGGATACAGAGGGCTAGTTTCGTATATGCCAGTTTACGCTGTCTCTGGCTTAGTAGACGACATATCCGACTGTCTATCGACCAAAGGGCGGGTGTACTGCTCAAAAGTCCGCTCCGTCCTCCTTTATGGTCAGCTGTGAAATCTGGTCATTGAGAGTGGAAGACATGAAAAGATTAGTTTTCTTCGATCATAGGTGCCTGCGCTCTATCTCCCGTGTTGGTTGGTGGTATAATAAGGTGAGTAATATTGAGGTTAGGTATCGGTCGAGTGCTAGGTAAGTAGGAGGGGAAATCAATGGACGAGGCTGTGAAGCAGTCACATCGACTGAGATGGTTAGGACATGTGTTACGCATGCATGCCTAGTCATCGCCTTCCTCGACTGACAGGCAATGTTAGCTGACATAGGATTGGTCAGGCTGGAAAAGAGCTAGCCGGTGGTGGTCAAACCAAAAGATGGCTTCATCAGTCAATAAAATCCACAACAGTTAGTTTAAGCCAACCAGCCATATAGGAAGGTGTAGACTTCCTGACTGGTTGAGGACTCCGAGACGGTAAAAACCAATGGTTGGAAACAATTGGTGACAATAATAATAATAATAATAATAATTTGCTTTATTCCAAAACAGTGCTTGTAATACAGAATGGAATTCTCAGCATTTTACTACAGTATTGCATCCAGTTAGTACATTAACAATAAATAAAATTCTACGTAGATTATGGGTAGTCTCAGTTAATTTTGACAACAACATATTAGCATATCGGTCGGTAGCAAAGCCAAAGGTGAACAGAATGTTTGAAGGTGTTAGAAAATTAGATATACTAGCGTACTTACTGGCGTAAGCGGTAACAAAAGGGTCGAGATATGCAGAGTGTGAAAGAACGAAGAAGAATGTTTTAAGTAGAGTTTGTAAGGAAGAGAGAAACAAAGCACCACATAACAGAGGGAAAAGAGAGAGAGAGAGAAAAGGAAACGAAAGAAAGAAAATCGTTCTCAATGGCTGGCTAGTGCAGATGCATCCACTCCTTGTGACTTATGATTTCCAATGAAACTTTATCGTTCTTCGTTCGTTATTAATATTCCTTTTGCCTCACATTTCTCTTAACTGTCTCTCTCTATTATGCTTGTCTTCTATTGCTTTGTGTGCTATAAGGAACGGAGTGTGGCGACTTGAACTGGTGCACATCTGTGCAAAGTGGTTTTATGTCGAAAATAGACAGACAGACAGGCAGAAACACACGCATTCGCTTAAATTATGTTTTTGTTTTGTTTTGATTAGCACAATGGAAGTATTTAAATTCTTTACTAGTTAACCATAATAGAATTCTACTGTTTACACTCTCGTTGTCTCTCTCTCTCTCTGTCTCTGTTCGACTAGTCGCCAGGCTCATCGTTACAATCTTCCATGTGTAGTTTATATCAATAAAATGGATCGTCCATCAGCCAATGTGGATGCGTGTTTATACAGCCTGTCAAATCAATTGCCCACAAAAGCTAACTATGTACCCTTACATTATCCAGTTTTCTCACATCATTTTGATGAAATCAATGCGCCGTCATCACCTGTGAACTATTCTCGTGGTGCTGATGTTAAAGACAGTACTAAAAGTCGATTTGTTGGACTTGTAGATCTGACCACAATGGAATTAAAGGTAATATATATATATATAAAATTGTTGATATTTTTCAAAGTTAGTTATGTCATTTCTAATCTTAGTCTAAACAAAATAATATAGTTTACAAAATACCCTGCAATGATTGTGAGTTAGGTCAACCACCTATATAGGTCAAACTAGTAGATTGGCGGTAGTGAGATTATCAGAAGATAAGAATTTATCTCAGTTAAGAATGATTGACCCCATCCGAGAAGATGAGTAATTTAGAATAAACCTCAAGACTACATTGCTGTTATGTACTTCTGAGTAGTTAATTGTCCTGACGCGAAAAGAGGACAATCAGAAGACCACCATGTTCACGAAGCTATGTGTATTTTCTAACCAGAAGGTCTTGGGTTCGAACCCCGGTGGGTGCATACTGATGAAGAGTCCCAAACTAGGACGAAACAGCTGTCCAGTACTTCCTGGTTTTCCAATGGTTCTCTAAGCAATGTCAGCTCATGATGAAATCCTGTAATCTTAAAATTCTATTTCGATTCACGTACATCACAACATTCTAACAAGTTACTTGTTTCTACTCTAAAAGCATTCGTCTTATTTGCCATCTGATTGTACTTGATTGATAACACTCGTGTTATTATTATTTCTGAATGTACATTATCCCATAATGATTTTTATCCCAATATCCAATCGATTCGAGACATGTATATAAATGAAGGAAAAAAGTTGTGTGAGTGACTTGATATGATTATGAGCAATAATTAGTGCTCGAAACGTGGTCATCAGTTAATATTACTGTACAATACTGTGTGACTTATCAAAATAAAATCTTATCTATAATGGAGTTATACTCTACCACCACAGTGCCCAAGTTTTGTACGTATATCTATAAAAACGTGTGTTTCTGGTTCAATACTACAATACTTGACACCCAGTTAGATCGCCCAGGGCTCGATCCGCCCCCCCCCACCGATGTCCCCGTGTGGTGCTGTGTTTTACACGCAGTATGTGCCGGCGGAATATTCTTCCCACATATTCCCACAGTTCAGTTCGGTATTAGCAACAGAATACGATGGTATATCTATTTGAAGATTTTGTTTGCTGTTAGAAACAGAATACTTTGCCATAGTTCAATACTACTGCATTGGCAACAGAAAACTATATACGTATGTTTGAACAATCCAATTCTTGGCGTTTGATGTAAACTGAAAATATACAAATATATATAAACTGCAGTTTGATCAATGAAAAATTAACGTTTGGCTTCCGTGTCTTGTCTTCTGTTGTTACACCCATAAATCTGGCTTACTTCGTTGTAGTAAGCCCAGTAGTAAGGGAGGGAGGTTTGGACATGCCGACCAGCGATCCGTTCACGTAAAATAAAGAACACTCCTTTTTCTAAAATGATAATGATGGAGCTATGAAAACAGCTGTATCCTTTCTGTTGCGCAATAATATTCCCATCGTTTCACTGATAACGGTGAATTTTCTTTCATGATAGCTGGAAAGTGGTTTCCAAGGCAGCAGAGCTGTGGGCTGTGTGTACTGTATAAGAACTTGTGATTATTATTATTATTATTATTATTATTATGATAAGCTTGGGTTCCGAGTGAAACATAGCGCTGGCTTCAACAACACATCTCTACTTTTTTTTCAATTTCCTACTGTCCACTTCACCTGAGACAGACACGATTCCCCATAGTCTCTCATATCCTCCTACAACTCACACCACCTCCTTCATGTCACCCTCTCACCGACCACGCCCACTCGTCACTTCCCATCGGGATTCCACTTGAGCGATGGATGGTCTGCATTGCGCGCGATGTCATTCGACGGCCTTCTCAACGTATGCTTTCAATGCATCTCCAATTTGTTCTGCATATTTGTTGAGCGATTGGCTGGCTACTGGTTGGTTTGTTCCCAGACAGCCAGAGTTTTTTGTTGCTGACTCATCCTGGCCGACCAACTGGATACTTGGTCTTCAGTATGGAGCCAGCCAGCGAATGTAGCAGCTGTTGACAGAAGTCTGCACCAGACTGTTCGTTGGAAATGCTATTCGTGATACGCTCACCAAGTTTCCTTGCCATAAACAAGAACTGACTGGCTTCACATTTGTGTTGGAAATCCGTACGGAATCGTGTTCCCTATGGTGGTGGTGAGGCGAAGTTCAGAAGATTTCCAAACTGGTTTCAGGTTGATGAAGGCTTGCGTATCTTGATTGTCGTTCCGATTCTAGCTGGTCAGCCGAGCGGCTGGTTGGTTGGTTGGTTGGCTGGCTGGTTTTGACATCCTCATCTGTTCCGATTGACTGTGGTTGAAACGATGCTTCCTAGCGGGATAAGTGAAGGAAAGAAGTGACCTCTGTGAAATGTCTCTCTCGCGTCGATGGTAATTGGTTCTGCTTGTGGTTGTTGCTATTGGTTGGCTTGTTGGCTGGTTGATTGTTTGGTCATCTTCATCGTCTCCACCTTCTTGATGTTCATCACCTGGATGAAGTCCTGTCTTCGCCGCTTCCTGGCTTCATCGGCCAGTTTTTTTCCAGGTTTGACCTCCTCAAAGTCACCCTCACCCTTGGACGACCAACTCGCCGCTTCTCCTTCGGGTTCCACTCGAGCAATGGCTTGTCTAGTGATGTCCATCACTTGATGGTTTGTTTTCTGAGAATATGGCCAGTGAATCCACCTCCATTTCTTCCTGCTTATTTGTTACACAATCGGTTCCTACGGTGTTGGTTCGCTGATTGCCAGAGAACCCTACCTGTTTCTGATGTTTCCTGGCCGGTCAGCCATCTGATCTTGAGTGGTATTGAGCGAAGACAGTTAGCTGTTGATGAAGGTCTGTGGTTTGTTTGAGGTGCTCTTTATGACACGCTGGTCAAGTCTCTGATCTGTATAGTGAGTAGCACTGACTGACTTCACATTGGAGTTGAAAATCCGGATCTTATTTTCATTTTCATGCTGGGTACTGTTCATCTCCTCCACACAGACTTGTCAGTAATGAAAGCTTATCTTGCTTTCCTGATCATTGCTGCTTTGATATCCTCGTCAGTTCCATCCACCTGTAGTTGAAACGATGCTTCCCAGGTAGGTAGGTAGGCACAGTGGTTAGGACTCTCGTTGACCATGCACATGGTCCGAGGTTCGATCCCCTGCCGACGCACACCTGATATCTTTGGTCGGCCTGCGAAATTTGGGCTACCGATATCCATGCAGAAAATTCCATACTTGTACCAAAAATACGATGTGGAATCAAGCTGTAATCAAAAATAAAAAAGTAAAAATAAGGTAGGTGAAGGAGGTTTTTCTTTCAGGTTCCTCCCATTTATGCTGACTGAATGTTGTCTGTTGTTGTTGGCCAGAAATCTTCATCACCTCTGTTTTATCTATGTTCACCTGAAGTCCTATCTTTGATGCTTCTTCTGACAACTTGTTGCTTTTCACTTGCATATCTTCCAGTTTGTGAGAAATCAGACATATATCATCGGTGAAGTCTAGATCCTCCAAGTTTTTTGTGAGGTCCATTTTATGCCTGTTTCCTCGTTGCTCGACTCGGTGTCTGTCATATTATCCAATCTACTGCAATCAGGAAAATCATTCGAGGCGATAGTAGGCAGCCAGCCCGCTTGTCTTACTCCCTTCTTCACTTCTTCGAAAGATTCCGTATGTTTCCCATTGTGGATTACATGGGGCTGGACTTGCTTCTTCTGCACACACAGAGCACTGGTTGTTTGAGGCGAATTGCTATAGCCTCTGGTGTTTGTCAGCATGTGGTGCTTCGGTGATGATTTCGGCAATTTATTAAGCACCTAGTAGATGATGATAGAGAAGGATTCTTCCACGCTGGCTGGCTGGCTGGTTGGCTTTGTGGCCGACCGACCAGTTTGCACCAGATGGTCCAATATCGAACTGAACTGTTTGTTGATGGTTTTCACTACACCTTTACTTAGTGTTAGCCTTCATCCACTATAATATCTTAGTGAGTGTATTTTGTAGAATCTTCATTACATTTTTTGTTGTTATTGTTGTTGTTGTTTAGAACTGGATTTCATGCATTACTCCAGACGACGAATACATCTCAACGAATTTACTCGAAGGGATAAATACAACTACCAGCTCGCATTACTTGCATAAGCCTAATCATCATTCAAAATCTCCTAATGAATATAAACTAAACACCACGGAGGTTATTCAACAAGCCTTGAATGCACGTATGCGATTATTGTCTGAGCTGGCTGAAATCGATGAAGAATTCGCCAATGAATTTCTACAACTTGATCGGCCAGACTTGTTAATCCCTTCAGATATTGTTCATAGGAGCTTAAAGAAGGTAATGTTTTTCATTTTGAATTGAATTTGAGATTTTCCCGTCCGTCGATTGACTGATTGGTTGAACCGAAGTGCTCCTCGGTCCAGTGCTCAGGTTGACATGTTTGTTGGCTCCTTATTGTGCAAATACTTTGACGACGATGTTTGCGCCTTTTTAATTAGTATTAAATTGGTGGATGATGGTGAATGACTAACAGTGGAATCCAGGACCAGGATAACGCGCATTTCGTCCTATTTGGTACTCGTCAATTGGCGGCTGGAGGATGTACCTGCATTTCTCAGTAAGTCAATGATGCTGATGATGATGTTCCCACCGACGAGTCTCAAATAGAACGAAATGCGCGTTATCCTCAACTGGATTCCACTGCTATTCACCATCCACTAATTAAGTGTTTCTACCCTGGATGGTATCAAAACAAAGTTTGATAGTGTGAAATATTCCCATATCCCATGAATTAAAAGTCAATCTGAACGAAGAATATTCTTTTTAATAATTTCTCCTATTCAGATTCTTACAATTATAAAAAATAATACATTTTTAACGTAGAATAACAACAGATTAGTAGTTATGGAGTGTCAAAATAAATAAATAGTCGTATTTCAGTGTGACAAACGTGCTCTGGGCTGAAATCGATTACCAAAATATTGTAAAACGGGAGACAGTGGTGGTGGTGGTGGTGATTAGTCATAACAGATCTGTGGAGTGTGAGGTAGGAAAATTGACAAGTAAGTCAGTTCAGTGTTATAAAAAGTGTCAGGTGAGTGGGTAACTGGGTAGTACAAAGTGGCATGTATTGAACAGGAGATAGGCAGACTGCAATGAAACGTGGTTCATAATGAAATGAAGAATGTGTGAAATGAAAGAGGTGGAGATATATCTTGAGGGAAGAGATGATATCACTTATAATAAGTCCGGATAGTATAGATGGAAAATTCGATAGTATTGAGAAAGTGTTTGCATAAAGGGTATAAATTATGTTGATATATAAACGTAATCTGATCAGGTGCTTCGCATTTACAGCGAGGTCTATTTGTTCCGAAGACTGTGTGGAGAAAGAACACCATGTTATCCGAGACATTCTAAGCTAGAACGGATATCCAGAGAATTTCATTAAAGCCAATATAGGTTGGAATAGTCGTATACATGAACTGTCAACGGCGGAGAAAAAGCCTCTGTTTTTGCGTCTCCAATTCAAGGGAGATACTCCTGCGGAGATTTTATCGCAACGTTTAACCAGAGCGATCAAGAAAACTTTCTACTCTGCACATCTGTGTCTAGCCTTCAGTAGCCGTCCAAAGTTCACCCACCAACTCAAAGATGTCTTACCTAATCTTAGCTCTTCTTCATGCATATACCATTTCAACTGTTCATGTGGTTGAAGTTATTTATATAGGGCGCACGATTAGGCAGATTCGTCTACGGGTTACACAAAGAGAATAATGATAATATCACTTTGTTTTGAAATGCACTTCCTCGTTAAATTTCTTTCTGAAGTATTTTACGTGGATAATTGATTCAAGCTTAAGGTAGTTGTTCTATTGATTTACTATGGTTAATATTTATTGTAAGCAAAACAGATGACTTTGCGAAGAACTCGTCATTGATCTAACCAACTCTTTAGTCTATCTTTACCGTTTTCTGTTATTGAACAGGGTTGTTTTTCTTCCAGAAAGCTTGTCTTCCTTCCATCCGGAACTCATGGAATTAAAAAGAAAAGAAAAGAATTTTACCATAACGCAGTCACCTCCATCTTTTGCCTTTCAATTCTACCTTCTACCAGCACACTCACTGTCTTATAAACCAACCTGTCATTGCACTGTATACTTGTATTTCAGGCGGTACGTTCTTCTCGTGTAATCCCTGTTTTAATTGGCAGCAGTCGAAACAATATCGGGATTCAACCTCTGTTGGATTTCATTGTGGACCATTTTCCAGATCCTAGCAGATGCAATTTACCAGCACCTGTTGTCAAAGTTTATGAAGCATGCAAATCCCAGTTGCCAAATACCAACGATTTAATGAAAGCATCACATAATAATGTAGACAAACATTTAAATATTCTCTCTTCCAAATTACCCATTATGCTTGTGTTTAAGATATGCTTTGATCCTTATCGTGGTCCACTTACTTTGGTTCGTGTCTATTCTGGAGTGATTACGCCTGGTTGTCAAATAACCAATTGGAGCCGATATAATAAAAATGGATATTTATCTGATGAGAAGGTGAGTATGGTGGCGGTGTTGGGGTGTAGATATCGATCCACTAACTATCTGTCCCTGAGATTTCCAAAACTGCGCCTAATCTGAGCAGGAAACGTGCTGCTGAAACCCCTACTGAAATCTCCCACTCAGAACTCAAGGAAATAATAATAATCATTCATATGATTTCGGTTATAACAATGCAATGTCAAAAAATTAAAATAAATAAATAAATAAATAGAATACATTTTCAAAAGAACAACTTACGGGCATAGTACAGCATGCGTTCCGTAGTCGTTGTTTTACCAGCATCAACGTGAGCAATCAGACCAACATTTCGAATTGCTTCAATACAAGAATCAACACCTTGACGAGGCTTTGATGGCTGATTACTGCTGCCCACACGTTGTTGTTGTTGTTGGTGGTGGTGGTGGTGTATATGCCGCAGACAGTAGTAATAGTGTTGACAAGACGTGGGCTTACCAATCTGACAGCCGAATAAAACATTTAACCATTTCCCAGACGTCGACAGTAGATGTGAATACTTCTTCAATAACATTTTGAATAGTATCAATCAGGTCATTACTATTGCCAGTCTCCTGTACATTTCTTTCAATTGATAAATAAATTAAAAGTGTATAACAATAATAACATATTGGTATTAATCCAGTAACAAGAGGCGTTGGTGTTAAATAACTAACTATCCTATAAAATTTGTTAGGAAAATCGGCAAAGATCAAAAGCAACATAAAAATGAAGGGGAAACTAATAATGATAACTAACATGAAAGAGAATATAATGCATCTACTGTTATACCATATAAGGAGGGGACATCTGAGACCCACCCCACGTAGGATTATTAATAATAAAGCAGGAATTAGGGTGGTGGCATTTAAACCTACAAACTCACTCAGATAGGGGAAGCTCTGTAGGTTAAAGGAGCCCGTCGGTGGACCCAATTAAACAAAATAATATAATTTACAAACTACCCTACAATGACTGTGAGTTAGGTCAAACTAGTAGATCGGGGGTAGTGAGATGGTCGGAAGATAAGAATTTAGCTAAGGTAAGAATGGTTGACCCCACCAGAGAAGATAAGTAATTGGGAAAAAAGCTCACCACTACATTGCACTGCGTGCATGCATTAACACACAACCACACAATAGCATGGTGGAAGAGGGTTAAAATTCTAAAAAGTAATCTAGGTAGGTGGAGAGAGAGGTTGATTACTGAATTCTGGCTAGTTCATCGAGTCTACACCCAACAGAACACATGCAATAGAAATGATTCATCACTTATATCTGAAATATGGAAAATACTACTACCAATCAAATCAAGTGAAAAACAATCGAACTATATAAATGATTGTCGTGTATGATTGTCAGTGGCAATAATAAATTGTGCTCGAAACGTGGTCATCAGTAAACATTACTGTATAACAACACTGTGTGACTTTATCAAAATAAAGTTTAATCCATAATGGAATTAACTTACCGTCTACTTGATAACGCACCCACTACAGACTACTTGTCACTGTCTAATTCAAAGAGGGTTGGGTGGTCGTCGGTGAACTGACTAATTTGTAAGCGAACATGTAAAAGGCTGAGGGTGTTCTACGTCTCTCGATTAGAGCCATCCTCGTGCCTATCCTAAAAAGAAGCTTACAAACTTCAGGTTATAAAGTTCTAGCCATTCCATGATTATATGAGTTTAGTTATTAAATATCACACAGTGATGGTACAGTATAAGCACATGAATGACAAGGTTTCGAGCATAAATTATGATTATTTCCTTTAATTCCTAGAGGAAATTAAGGCTTCAGCTACACGTCTCCATTGCTTTCAGTTCTCTGCTAAAGTTTTCACCTGGCTCCACGCCTCTGTCTAGACGCTTTCATCTCCTCCTCTTCCCATAACCTCCTCAAAGTCACCCTCACCCTTGGACGACCAACTCGCCGCTTCTCCTTCGGGTTCCACTCGAGCAATGGCTTGTCTAGTGATGTCCATCACTTGATGGTTTGTTTTCTGAGAATATGGCCAGTGAATCCACCTCCATTTCTTCCTGCTTATTTGTTACACAATCGGTTCCTACGGTGTTGGTTCGCTGATTGCCAGAGAACCCTACCTGTTTCTGATGTTTCCTGGCCGGTCAGCCATCTGATCTTGAGTGGTATTGAGCGAAGACAGTTAGCTGTTGATGAAGGTCTGTGGTTTGTTTGAGGTGCTCTTTATGACACGCTGGTCAAGTCTCTGATCTGTATAGTGAGTAGCACTGACTGACTTCACATTGGAGTTGAAAATCCGGATCTTATTTTCATTTTCATACTGGGTACTGTTCATCTCCTCCACACAGACTTGTCAGTAATGAAAGCTTGTCTTGCTTTCCCGATCATCGCTGCTATGATATCCTCGTCAGTACCATCCACCTGTAGTTGTATTCTATTTCAATTCACTTCACGTACATCACAACATTCTAACAAGTTACTCACTTATTATGACTGTAAAAACACTCATCTTATTTCCCATGTGATTATAATTGATTGATAACACTCATGTTATTATTATTATTTCTGAATGTACATTATCCCATATTGATTTTTATTCCGATATCTAATCATCAATTTCACATATGTATATAAATAAAAGAAAAAAGTTGTGTGATTGAGTGACTTGATATGATTATGAGTGGGAATAATAAATTGTGCTCGAAGTGTGTGGTCATTAGTTAATATTACTGTATAACAAACACTACACTGTGTGTGACAGTTTATCAAAATTAAACCTTATCCATATTGACCGATAGGGTATCATGCTTTACGTATTTTAATAGTCATTGTTTTCATAAACTAGTAGTGATGACGTTTATGCACATCGTGGATACAGAACTTGCTTAACTTTACTGTGTGTCGGTGGCACAGTGGTTAGGACTCTCGTTGACCATGCACATGGTCCGAGGTTCGGTCCCATGCCGACGCACACCTGATATCAATGGTCGGCCTGCAAAATTTGGCCTACCGATATCACATGCTGAAAATTCCATGCCAGTACCAAAAATACAGTGTGGAATCAAGCTGTAATCAAAAAGAAAAAAAATGAAACGGACTTTTATAATTCTAAGAAATAAATGACATCAAAGAGCTGATGATGTGAACGACTACTGTTAAATATGAGTTGTGCACAGTATCATTGAATCATTGTGTATGTTTAACCGTATACACCAAGCTGTTAAGAAATATGTCAAGTTGATTTCATCAGTGGGGTCGGTTGGTGTTGTATTGTATAAGCAAAAATACACCTTAGGCTGATTACACTTATTTAATCGACGGTTGTTTATGGATACAGAAAGCTAGTTTCGCATAGGCCAGTTTACACCGTCTCTGGCTCAGTAGATGTAATATCCGACTGGCTGGCTGTCGATCAAAAGGCGTTTGTACTGATCAGCAGTCCGCTCCGTCCTCCTCTATGGCTGGCTGGTTGTGAGACCTGACATGAAAAGATTAGCTGTCTTTGATAATAGGTGCCTGTCTGCGCTCTTTCTCCCGTGTTAAGTGGTAGGTTTAATAGTGTGAGCAATATTGAGGTTAGGCGTCGGTCGAGTGCTGTGTAATTAGGCGGGGAAATCAATAGACGAGGCTGTTCAGTCACATCGTGTTAAGCATGCCTTCCTCGACTATGAGCAATGTTAGCTGACATACGATAAATCAGATTGGAAAAGAGTTAGCTAGTGATAGTCAAACCAAAACATGGCTTCATCAGTCAATGAAATCCACAACAGCTAGTTTAAGCCAGCCAGTCACGTAGGAAGGTGTAGACGTCCTGACTGGTTGGGGTCCTCGGGACGGTAAGAACCAATGAAGGCTGGAGACATTTGGAGATATCACTCAAAATCGTTCTCAATGGCTGCCTACTGCAGATGCATCCACTTCTTGTGACTTATGATTTCCAATGAAACTATGTACTATTATTTTTGCCTCATATCTCTATTTTGCACTTCATTTTACTCTCCCCTCTTGCTTTGTATGCTACAAGGAGGAGGGGGAGTGTAGCGACTCGAAATTCTGCACATCATTTCAAAGTGGTTCTAGGTTGTTGTGAAACCAGACAGACAGATTTATTATTTTTTTCTTGATTTCTTTTTTCAATATTTCAGATATTGAATATATTCCAACTAAGTGGAGATTCTGTAGAAGTGCTCAACAGTGCTGGACCAGGTAGCATTGTAGCTTTAAGTGGACTTCAGTCAACCTATACAGGTGACATTCTTGGTCCTGTATTGAATACATCGAATAAGGGTAAACAAATGGAGGTACAAAGCCCTACTGATGAAGAAGTGACCGACAGTGGAACACCTGGTGAATCGCTCTCGCTACTTACTGAAGTCTGCGAACCTGTTGTGTATGCAGCTATAGAACCTGGTAGTCGATCTGAAATACGCGCACTTGAACATGCTCTCACTTGTATGCAACGTGAAGACCCTAGCTTTCATGCAAGTTGTGTTTTTTTTTTTGTTTTTTCTGGTGTAGCTTTTTTCAATGTGACTATTGATTTACATTCTTTCTTTTTTAAAAAAAATTCTGTTATGTACTCGTCGCAAATATAAGTTATGGGGACGTTGACGATATTATGGTGTGACCGAGTGTGTAAATACGCGCTAATATGTAATATGACGTAGGGCCGATAACGTGTACCTGCTGGTATTGCTGAGTAGTTAGTTAATTTGTCCTGACGCGTAAAAAGGAAAATCAGAAGACCACCACCACGTTCACGAATGGATACGTGTATTATCTAACATGGAAAGCTTAAATGTCACACAAAGAGTGTGAGTGATAAGGTGCCAAAGTACGAAGGTGAGAGTGAATTAATTGTACAAGGCAAAAGTATGTGAGAAAATGACTAACACATATGAACCAATCAGATGATAGATAAGTAGTTTTTCTTACCACCACTGGATTCTGATTGGTTGTAATGTCACGTTACCAAGGTCACAAATTGTTGATTTACAAACAAAACATATTGTGAGTTCTAATGGAATAACGATCAATATACACAGTAAAATAAATCAGATTGTCAAGACAGAGCAGATATCATGTGACTACATATCAAATTCCCTCGCGTTCACAGTGGAACATTGGCCACCGCCTTCAAGCTAGAGGCTTGAAATTTCTGTTACGGTGGTGTTTATTTTTCCTAGCTAGCAACCTTCTCTCTTTACCAGCCGTATTACTGGCTTAGCAAGCGAGATAAAGGAGTGAATCGGTGGCCGGGGATCGAACCCCGATTGGCGAGCATATATATAACAGCTCATCCAACAAGCTCTTGTGGCATTTGCAAACTGATTAAATCACTGACCAGGATGTGATATCCAACTGTAGGTCGAAGGACTTGCTCATTGTGCAGCAATTCACTCTCTCTTTTTTATGAATGTCAGCCATGGTCGTGAAATCGCAGGATATAAAGATGCTAGCCCCTCTTTTGCTATCTCTCTCTCTTTCTCTCTTCCGTGTTAAATGATACTTTTTGGGGATGAGTAATGTGGTTAGTGAAAATAAAACAAAACACGTAGATCAGCGAAGAGACTTTTTTCGGCGGTGAATTCATTTTCTTAGCTGTACAATCCCAAATATATACGTGCATTATTTTGTATGTATGTGTACATTAAGTTTGTCAAACAAAAATAGACATTTGATTATGGTTATTCTAACTAAACAGGTGAAGATTGGTAATACAAGTCTAGAAAATTAGGTGTTAATGAAATTAACGTAGTAACAAAGGTGATGATGAGTTTTCACAAACAGCTGTCTAAAAGAAGTTATGCAATAATGTGAATAGTTTGATGAATGAGTCTTACTCAGGATGCACATAGGAACAAAGTAGAGAATACGAAATTATGTAAGAGTTCTAAATGTATACAAGAATTATAAGCAATTAAAGAACAGGCAAACCAACAAAATTAGGTCATCGAAATCAACATAGTTGTTACCATGATAGTGGAAGTGGTTGAGTAATTCTCTTTTGTACGCACAGCTCCGGTTTTTCTATGTGAATGGACAGAGCTTCGGCGATCCAGAGAAGACGAAACCGTATTGCCTTTGGTAGGTTATTGTTGATTCTGTAGATGACTTTGAAGCAGGAGGCGTTTGTTGAGATGGAACGATCAGTGTTAACCAAGTGTTCCATTGTCACACTCCTTATTGCATCATCACTATTGTCTTTTTACAACCATGCTGGCTGGATAGTGTTCTTAAATCGTCTTGGACAGGGTGAGCGTCGAACGACCGATGTACCTGGCTGGCTTCACAACGGCAGGTGAACTGATATATACACATAGAAGTGGTCAGATGCGGGATCTTGTCCTTGAGGCTTCTGCAGATCAGTGGGCGACTAGAGAACACTATTCTTAGCGTTTCTGCAAAGAATGTTCTTCTCAGAGATGATGTAATCTTTTGCTTAAGAATATCGCTTGCATTATCTCCTTTAAAATCCAAGTTCATGTAGAGTTTGTTTTTAGGCGCGCAAGTAAAGTTTTATTTCTCCAAATTCTTGGTTTGATATTTTTGTCAATGAATCTTATTGGGAATCCACTTTGGATGAAGATTTCTCTTAGAACATTTAATTCTGTTTCCAGAACGTCGGGACTACAGATGCGTCGTGGGATGCAGGTGGCAAGTGATTTAATTAAATTCCGCTTTTGTTGAATGGATACCCAGCTATAGAAGCTTATAAGTTGACCATTCCACGTAGGTTTTCTATGGATCGATCTTCTAGACTCCCATCAGTTCTTCTTGTTAGTTCCACATCAAGGTTAAGCTTAGAGTATAGGAAAGAGGGAAAGTAAACCGATAGAGTTGTCTGTCTGTCTGTTTTCGACATAGAACTTTGCACAAATGTGCGGAAGTTCAAGTCGCCACATTCCGTGTAGCACGCGGAGCAAGAGAAGAAAGTACAAGAAAAGCATAATAGAAACAGTGAGCAGAGGTGTGAGACAAAGGGGTAATAAAGAAATACAAAACAATTTCATTGAAGATCATAAGTCACAGGGAGTGGATGCATCTGCGCCACTGAGAACGATTTTGAGCCATGTCACCAATTGTTTCCAACCATAGATTTTTGCCGTCCCGAGGACCCCAGCCTGGAAGTCTACACCTTCCTACGTGGCTAAGACCAACTGTTGTGGATTTCATTGACTGATGCCAAGTTTTTGTTTGACCGCCGCTAGCTTTTTTCCAGTCTGACCCTATATCCGTTAACATAGCTCGTCGAGGGAGGCGATGACTTGGCATACGTAACACATGTCCTAACCATCTCAGTCGATGTAGCTTTACGACTTCGTCGATTGATTTCCCCTGTTTACCTAGAACTCTACGCCTAACCTCCATGTTGCTCACCTTATTATGCCACTTTACACGGGAAATAGAACGCAGGCACCTATGATCAAAGACAGCTAGTCTTTTCATGTCTTCCACTCTCAGTGGCCAGGTCTCACAGCCATAAAGGAGGACGGAGCGGACTGATGAGCAGTACACCCGCCCTTTGGTCGATAGTCGAACATCTCGTCTACGCCAGAGTCGACGTAAACTAACAAATGCGAAACGAGCCCCTTGTATTCGTGCTGAGATTTCGTCAGAGATCAGCCCGTTGGGGCTGATGGTACTTCCCAAATAAGTGAAGCGGTCAACGTGCTCTACCACTTCACTTCCTATTTTTAAACTAGGCGTCGATGTAGTCCAGTCCTGTAACATCATCTTGCATTTGGCGGGAGCGAATCGCATGCCAAACATTCGTTGATTGCTGTTCAAGGTGTTTAGAAGACTCTGCATTTTGTCAGCGTCTTCGCCTAGAAGGACTATATCGTCTGCATATTCCAAGTCAACGAGATTATTCCCAGGTAGCAAGTCAATCCCTGAATCGCTGAAGTCACCTAGGGTTAAGTCCATTAACACATCTATGATGAAGTTGAATAGAAAAGGAGATAATGGGCATCCTTGACGGACACCACTGGTCGTCATCAGTTCAGATGACAGCTCGCCGTAAGCCCTCACCTGGCTGTATGAGTACGAATAGAGTGCCTTAATCAGTGCAATATATTTTCTCGGGATTCCCTTTACAGCCAAGCATCTCCAGAGAACTTCCCGATCGACAGAGTCGAATGCTGCCTTTAGGTCAAGAAATATAATGACTGTTGGACGCCGGTAGGAATGCCTATGTTCTAGAATCTGTCGGAGGGTGAAGATATGATCAATACACCCTCTTCCTGGTCTAAAGCCTGCCTGGCTCTCTCGTGTTTGTGCTTCCCGAGCACCACTCAATCTACGCATGATTATTGAGCCTAAGACTTTAGATACTATATTAGTCAAGCTAATCCCTCTGTGATTATCACTGGAAGACTTGTCTCCCTTCTTGTATATGGGGATAATCAGTGACTTACACCAACCCGATGGGACTTCTTCTGATTCCCAAACGCTGCCTAGTACCTCAGTTAATCCGGACAGTAAGCTGTCTCCACCGTAGTTAAATACCTCTGGCGTCATTCCATCAGGTCCCTCTGCTTTGCCTAGTTTCAGATTGGTGACAGCTTTAGTAACCTCAGTTAGTGACGGAAGACCTGTGTCTATATCCCATTCAGGGAGGTGTTGGATGCTCGGAAGGTTGAGCGTGGCTGTGGGCAAATTAAACTGGGATACGTGTTATACTTGTCGAGCCATCACCTTACTGGTTGAACGGTTTTATCTGACACCGGATCAGGTTGGAAAAGAGTTAAGAGTGGTGAAATCATAACATGGCTTCAATCAATGAAGTAATTGAATGTTGCCTTGGTTCACTCAGAAGGGGGGGTATGGATTGCCTTAGGGGGTGGGGTGGGGGTTTCGGTGTGCTCATTCATTTACGCCCTAATTCACTTATGTTTAGTTAGTGACAATACATTATTTGAGTATATTAGATGGTTGGAGGCAATCGGCCACAGGAAGCCTTGGACCTAGGTTTCGTGCTAGTTGGCACTCATCAGCAAGGCGTATCTGCAACCTTGAAGGAACTCATGTCCCTTCTGAGATTCGAACCCGCGTCACCCAGTGTTTTGAGTGATATGAAAAAGAGAAGACTTTCAACGAATAGACTTTTTTCGACAGCGAATTCATTCACATAGCTAGCTGTACAATTGCATTTATATATAATTATTTGTGTGTGTGTGTGTTTGTGTACATGAGGTTTGTCAAGTTTAGATAATTAATCAGGTGATACAAGAATGATCTAATATATAGAAACAAGGTTAATTAGAGAACAATAAAAATAAGAAAGACTGAGTTAGTTGGTTGGATGCTTCAACCTAGGTCAGGATAGCAACAGAGGTAATTACAGGTAGAGAGAGACTAAGTAGAGGTGGGATGGAGAATAATGCCATTTAAACTAGGACGAAAAGTGAGCAGATAAATTGGATGATGACTAGAAATTGAGCGTTGGTCAAGTCAATAACAGTGGTAATGAAGTGTAGAAATTAAAACGGGTGGGGGTAGAGAACAAGAATTTTGAAAATGTAAAATATTACAATTGTACAGGCAAAATAATACTAGTAGAAAGACAGAAAGGAGTAGAATTTCCCTGTCGGGTATTGCGACACATTACGTCCATTGCAAGTGTAGTGAAGAGTTCAGGACTTAGCAAATGAATCGCCATTGCTTCTGCGGCGTTTGAAGATGTCTGATTCTTACACCTTTAGGAAGTCTGTTTCGTATTCTCTAGACGACTATGAAGTTTGTTTGGGGGGTGTAGCTTGGTGTCCGGAATCTATCAGATGTTCTAAGATAGAGCTGCATGGGGGCATCGTTTTACTTCTTTGTAAAACCATGTTGGTAAGTGTTCAGTGACACGTTTGGAAAACGAACGCTGGCTGGGTAAGGCCGACATACCTGGCTCCACACGAGCAGGTGAATTGATAAATACACATTGATGAGTTGGCCAGCAGTGGTAGCTTATCTCCTTCACGTTCACATGAATCATAGGTTTTGTGGAGAAGGCTAGTTATAGTTCAGCTGCGAAGAAGGTTTTCGCTTAAGTGAGAGCGACAGTCGATTTTTTTAGTGTTTCCGCAGATATATCTTCATTGAATTGAAGGTTCATGTAGACTAGTTTTTTTTCATTATTTCATCCTACATTAGTGATTCAACAACTGGTGTTTTTTTCTTTCTACACTTAACATCTGACATTTTTATTTATTTTTTTATTTTTAATATTGTTAATTAAACACTTTGTTTTACTTATAATTGTTAATTCTTGTAGGTGAAATTTGATGAAGAAACTGGTCAATGGACCGTATCTGGTATGGGTGATCTACACCTGGATGTTATCCTTGCTAGATTGAAACGTGAATATAAAGTTGGCGTTCGAATGGGTCCTCTTTTAATCGCTTACAAAGAGTGTCCATCAGTTGATGCTTGCAGTTCCTCTGGTTGGAATTGTACAGTTGGACTTATCAATGGGAGTGAAAAAGCGGTTGGAGTTGAGATCATACTTCAACCAAAGAAGTCTCTGCATTCACTTCATAAGCCTCAGGTAATATAATAATAATAATAATGCCATTAATATTTATTTTATTCCTTATATTAAATATTCCCTTAGTAAAATTTAGAACAACACCTGCTTATGCGAACAATATCGTTGTTTCCAATTAGATCTCATCACGCTTAACTCAAATATACACCTACATAACTTTACAAATTCAAATATAAAACAATCATGGTGTTTTGTCTATAGGGTAATAAGATGGTGAATATAAATTGTGCAGTAAGTCATAATAGTAGTAATGATGATAATAATAATAGTAATAATAATAATGATCTTATCAATAATAAGGATGAGAAAGTGTACTACTAGACTGCTTAGCCAACGTGTTAGTGAACACCTCCCTTCATCGTGGTTTGGAGAAGGACATACAAAAACAATCCGTAGCTCAATTTTGTCACATTTGATTGATAGTGGTCATGTAATGGGGATAACGAGGGCCTTAAATGTAATTCATCGTATCCCACCGAATCTTTCCAATAGACTTCGTACTCGTTTACTGCATACACACACACACACACAAACAGCTGAGGCAGGCGATAGGCATTCGAACTATTAAACCTAAACTATGCCTCCCTTGGTCTGTTGAGACTTAACCAACTGATAACTTCACTACCACCCCTTACTTATATTTTCAACGCCTCTCTTATCATCCCTTAATCTTACCACATCTTCACTGAAACGTATTTTATCTGCTTATAGGCTAACCCTATGTCAACCAGCTAACATTGCCAATTGTCGAGGAAGGCGATGACTAGGCATGGATGCGTGACACATGTCCTAGCCATCTCAGTCGATGTAACTGCATCACAGCCCCTCCCACCTACCTAGCACTCGACCGACGCCTAACCTCAATATTGCTCACCTTATTATACCACTTCCCACGGTAAATAGAACGCAAAGTTCTGTCACTGTTGTACCCTTCACTGCCAGATAAAAGGTGAAGTAGTAGAGGTAGTAGTGTCATCAGTGAATGTGTCAACACCAGTGAGGTGGCAGTTATAGTTTAACAGTAAAATACTACCTGCCTAGTCGGTAGGTATTAAGCTCCGGAAAAGAGAGATGGTTCAGTATGATGAGGCTAACGACTCAACCTCGTAAAAAGAAAACGACACCCACCCCAACCCCATCTACTGAAACTTCAGAGCTTGTAGAGCTTTGGAATATAGGGAATGGAGAAACAGAAGGCGGGGTGGAGAAATCATCAACTCTGTCTTAGTAGACATCACTGAATGAATGCTAAAGTGTTACAATCTAACTGCAGTATTGATTTCCTGAAGTGTACTTGATTATCAGTTTGCATTGGGGGGGGGGGACTGTTGCCTGTACTCTTTGATTTATTATGAGGCTGTCAGCATCTCATCGACACACATGCACATTCTGAATTGATAGAGAAGATTTTTAGCTCAGATGGATGAGATAGTTCTTTCATTTTTGGATAATCAGTTATTGATCACCTTCGACTGTAGCAAGAGGAAAGTAGTGTGGATTCGTATTTTCATTGTTTATGCATATTTATGGACAGTTGGGAAAATAATGCTCTGAATACATTCACTTAATCTTACTCCAAAAATATGGTGGAGATATGTGCATGACACTTTGACAGGGTTAAAAACAGAACATCTCCTTCTCTAGCTTCTTGACACACATAACCTCACTAGTAGAGGAAATAAAATTCACATTTGAATCGGAAAATGAACAAGGAGAATTAGCTGTGATGTTAGATTGTAGAATAAAACGGATAGAAGAAGGTAAACTGCACACTAGTGTTTATAAAAACCAACTCATTCTGCTAATAGATATTTAGACTTTAATTCACCTCATCCGTTAACTGTTAAGGTAGGCTTAGTTAAGTGTCCCACAAACCGAGCAATGGCACTAAGTAGCACAAAATAAGACCTAAATGATGAAATGAAACAGATGGAAGATAGAAGGCGTTGGCGTTGAGTAACTGACTATCCTATAAAATTCATTAGGAAGATCGGAAAAGGCCAAAAGCTAAATAAAAATAATGGGGAAACTAGTAATGATAAACAAAAATAAGAGAGAATATGCGTTATCTACTGTTATGCCATATAAAGAGGGGACATCTGAAACCCTCCCTACGTAGGATTCTAAATAACAACAAAGCAGGAATTCGGGTGGCATTCAAACCTACAAACTCACTCAGATAGTGCAAGCTCTGTAGGTTCAAGGACCCTTTCGGTTTACCTAATTAAACAAAATAATATAATTTCATTCAACACATAAAGAAAGGTTGACTTCTGAAGCCTTGCACATCTGAACCACATCGAATGCAGTAAATAGGAAGGAGAGTAGAGATAGACTTAACACCTATATGGCGAACTCTAATGAAGCAAGACAGATGAAAAAACAACAACAAAAACGTCTACGAAACTCCATGACCTTTAAAAAAATGTATCATGTTAATCACATGTGAATTGACGTCCCGTTCCATATGACAAATAACATACACACACACACTCATACAGAAAAAATATACACCATGACAATTTGACATTAGTCATTACAAATATATGATTGATGACTGCTTACATATTTCTATTGGTACAAATGTCTATCAACGAGAGACCTTCAAATAAACTGACTTGAATTTCTGTGAAAATGTTTTGACTGTAAATATTTTGATGATTAATAAAAAACCCGAATAAATCTACTGAGGAAGGTGTGGCAACTTACACAGCGAAACGTGTTCGAAAAAAACAGATCTTGTTTTGATTTTCACTTCAACACACTGGGATTACTTTGAATAACTTATCATGAATCAGTCTGACTGGGCGGTCAAATTATTCCAGGCAGTTCGCAACACCTGCAGTCTGGAAACTTTATATATATACATACTCCACTATGTTAAACACTTTTCATTGTAATCTCTCGTCCATATAAAGATAATCTTCGATCATCATGGTGACGGGAAAATTGCACGTTTACGGCACGCTATCACAGAGGCGTGTTTATCAGCCTTGGAAGTTAGCGGACCTATTCTTGGCTCGTCTATTATTGGCGTAGACGTTCATATTCATCGGATTGTATGCGGTCGTTCAGAACAGATTGCAGACGGTTTAAAGCATATTGATAATAATAATCTGAATGATCTGAGCCTAGACAAGCTGTCGTATGCACAACTTTCTTCAGCATCTCTATTGGCTTTATTGAAAACATGTTGTATTGCCAGTCTGAGAGATGCTGTCGCCAAGATGCCCAGTTGGAATCTTATGGAACCAATGATGGATGTTGAACTTAAACTTCCTGCTGAAAGAGGTAATGCTTTGATCATGTTTTTATATAAATATAACAACTTGAATATTAGTTATTTGACTACGTTTTATAATAAAGTGAATCTATAGTGGTGTGTGCGCCGATGGCACAGCGGTTAGGACGCTCGCCGACCATGCACATGGTCTGGGGTTCGATCCCCGGCCACCGATGCACTCCTTTGTCTCCCTAAGCGAGAAATAATGCTGGTAAAGCGGAGAGCTTGCGCATGAGGCTAGCAACCCCATCCTGTAAAATTAAACACTGCTACAGAAACTTCAAACCACTAACTTGAGGCCCTATGTTCCACTGGGGAACGTGAACGAAAAAAATATTGGTGTGAATTTTAAAATTGGGCCAAGTTAAACTTTAAGCACCACTCACTATTACCAATGGAGTGCGACAGCGCACCAATGACCTTGAAATGTGCATCGATCAAGATAATGAAACGTGGTAAATAATGTTATCACCATCAATAAAACATCCTCATCGAAGTGTTGTGTTTTATTAAATGGGATATCTGGCAAGTTTCAGCTTTGGTTTGGGAAGGATTAAGTTACGCTTTAAACCAAGGACAAGTTTAGGGTTACGTTAACCTAATAAAGGCGATATTAGGGTTAAGTTCAGGAAAGATTAGGATTATTGTTAGGGTTAGAAGACGTAAATAATTACATGCATAGAATGTAGTTAAATTACTCCGTTGATGTATCTATAAGAATAGAACTTGTGCATTGTGGTTGTGGCAAAGTATAATTGCATTGTGGGTAAAATTTATTTTGATTAAGTCTTACAGTGTTATGCAGTAATATTTACTGATGACGTTTCGAGCACAATTTATTGCTCAGGAAATATTACTGTATTACACTGTGAGGTTATATCAAAATAAATTTTACCCACAATTGAATTATACTCTGATTGGAGACCAGTAACTAGTGTGATGTGTCCAGTCCTTTCTTTGGTGCAGACCCGAATTCTGTTAGTCAAGTTGCTAATGTGGCCATCATGCCACTAGGTAGCCCGCCATTACTGTGCACATTGATTTGATGATATTAGACGGCTGAAGGCAATTGGCCAGACGAAGCCTTGCCTTGACCTAGGTTTCGTGTTAGTTGGCACCCATCAGTAAGGCGTATCTGCAATCACATTGTAGGGACTCATGTCTCTTCTTCTGAGATTCGAACCCGCATCACCCGGTGAATACTGCAGTCGGAGACATTACCACTGAGATATTGTGTAATATATCTGGTCCTTCCTTTGGTGCAGACTGAATTTTATCAATCAGTCAGTCAGTCAGGTTTACAATGTGGCCACCATTCTAGGTGGCTCGCCATCATTATACTCTGTTGATACTCCAACCTAAAACAGAGCTATTTTTATCACATATGAGAGGAAGGTCTCCTCTGTAACACTTTTGTACAGTTTTTATGCATCTTTTTCATATATATATATATATATATATATATATATTCCATACAAAAAATGCTTGTTTCACGTGATTGGTGAGTTCGAGGTCATTCGCTGATTGATGGTAGTTAGTGGTGCTTAAAGGTCAACTTAGCCGTAAATTGTATTTATTTAAACGCAGAAAAAAAACTTGGTCCAATATGGCACCAAGAAAGATGCTCCACACAATAATAATAATAATAATAATAAAACAATATAGATTCAAAGTAAAAACATGAGTAGAGGACGGATAAAGCACTTCATCTGGAAGGAAAACAGTCATACTACTTAACAAGTTCAAACAGTATTCGTTAACTATCATCAGGAAGGGAAGAAAGTAGGAAATTGCGACACGTTCGTCATTGATGACTGCGATTCCTGGCCATATCCGATAACGATTCGAGCTATCTCACGGACCCTAACTAGGGTGTCGTGACACACCAACTGATGCTAATCTAGCACAGAAATCCTTCATCCTACGACGCCACGTCATGGACTGACCACCTCGCCGCCTTTTCCATCCCGTCGCAGGGCTGGTCAGCGAACAGAGACCTTTACGGAAGCCTCTGGGATGACATTCTCAGCACATGTCCAAGCCACTGGAGCCGGTGTTTCCAGATGACGACACTCAATGTATGGTGATCTCCACTGTGTTCATACACACATCTACGAACCTTACTCGAAGAGGCCAGGTTTCACAGGCGTAGAGCAAGACAGCCCGCACCGAAGCATTGTATACGCGACCTGTCACAGCCAGGCTAACGTCGCGACGGCGCCAGACCAAAGGTGGCCCAAGTTGATGTATGCCACCCTCTAGCCTTCATTATATGGTTGGAAATCTCATCTGTCACCCCTCCGCCGCCAACACTCACACAACTACCGAGATACACAAACTTATCAGCAACTTCAAGCGGTTCACTTTCAAGTAAAAATATGTTCAGGTACAGGCTCCTGCCAATCTTGTAACAGTACTAATTTGCACTTAGACGATGCAAAGTACACATACCATACTTACAGACACTGATCGCCAACTGATTAAGTGTGATTTGGGCAGCCTGCCTGGTATCGCACACAGTAAGACGATATCGTCTGCATAGTCGAGGTTGAAAAGTGTATCTCCAGGTAGCAGATCTACACCAACTTCACACACATACATCCTTCAGAGCTGACTCCAGAATGTCATCGATGGCAAAGTTAAAGAGGAACGGAAAGATTGGGCAACCTTTGTCTAACCCCACTTTTAATTTATAGTATGCACCGGTTCGACAGAAATCTGGTGTGATGTGAACTGATTGGGCTCTCTGAGCTTGAGACAAACCGGGTATACCACTGATGAGCTCGACCTCAAACGAGTGAATCCGATGTCCGTTGTTTAAACAACTTCCTTCAATCAGGCTAGCAGGTACTACTAGTATGCAACTGTTCATCTCCGTCAATCGATCAATCGGGTTCCACTCGAGCAATGGCTTGCCTAGTGATGTCAATCACTTGATGGTTTGTTTTCTGAGAATATGGCCAGTGAGTCCACCTCAATATCTTCCTGCTTATTTGCTGCACAATCGGTTCCTACGGTGTTGGTTCGCTGATTGCCAGAGATTCGTACCTTTTGCTGATCTTTTCTGGTCGGCCAGCCACCTGATCTTGAGCAGTGTTGAGCGAAGACAGCTGTTGATGAAGGTCTGTGGTTTGTTTGAGGTGCTCTTTATGACACGCTGGTCAAGTCTCTGATCCGTATAGTAGCACTGAATTCTGGATCCTATTTTCGTTGCTGAGTGCTGTTCATCTCCTCCATACAGACTTGTGAGTAATGAAAGCTTATCTTGCTTTCCCGATCCTTGCTTTGATATCCCCGTCAGTTCCGTCCGCCTGTAGTTGAAACGATGCTTCCCAGTTAGGTAGGTAGGTAAGTGAAGGAGATTGTTTCTTTCAGGTTATCCCATTTATGCTGGCTGATTGTTGTATATTGATGTGGCTGTTGGTGTTGGCGAGGAATCTTTTCTATATGTTCACCTGAAGCCCTATCTTCTTCAGATGGTTCTTCTGCCAACTTGTTGCTTTTCACTTGCATATCTACCGGCTGTTTGTGTGAAGTCATACATATATCATCGGTGAAGTCCAGATCCTTCAAGTCTCTTTTCGTGTGAGTCCATCGTATGCCCGTCTCCTCATTGCCCGGTGTCTGTGACATTATCCAATCTACTGCAATCAGGAAGATCATTGGCGATAGTAGACAGCCTTGTCTCACTCCCGTCCTCACTTCGAAGGCTTCCGTAAGTTTCCCGTTGTGGATTACTTGTCATGCAGCATTGTCGTATAACTGTTGGATGAGATGTATAATTGTCGATGGGACCTCTTTGGTAGTAGCTAAGTAGTTGCCAAATGACCTCTCGATCGACTCTGTCGAAGGCCTTTCCAAAATCGATGAAGTTGAGTGAGGTAGAGAGGTGACTGCCGTTCCAAGCTTTGTTCAATGATGATCCGTAGAGTGGCGATTTGATCAATACATGACTTGTTTCTCCTGAATCCAGCCTGTTCCGGTCGACGTTTTTCATCCAGGCCGGCGTGTTTGATTCTCTCCAGGATGATGCGGCTTAGTATTTTGCTTGGAATGGACAGGAGCATAATTCCGCGCCAGTTTTTGCATTCACTTAAGTCTCCTTTCTTCGGTAGTTGGAATAAGTATCCTTTCTTCCAATCTTCGGGTACTTTGCCCTCTTTCCACACCTCCAGTAATGGTATCATCAAGTCCTTTGTTGTCTCTGGGTCCATTTTCAATGCTTCTGCTGGGATTCCATCTGGTCCTGCTGCTTTTCCAGCTTTTAACATCTTGATTGCATTCAGGACTTCTGATTTCATCGGGGGATCGATGTCCACTGGTAGTTCTGCTTCCGTTGTTGGTATTGTTGGGCGCGTTCTAGAGCTGGCGGACGATTTATAAATCTTTCGAAGTGTTCAGCCTCCATTTCTTTGGTGATTGACTTTCCATTGTGATTCTTCACTGGCTTGTTTAGACCAACGAAAACAGTCCAAGGGTTTAAGATTGTGAAATCAACCACAATGCATACTTAAAATCAAATGCAAAATGGGGATATATGCGGTGTGCTTTACGTGTAAAGTGTCGAAACTGTCATGACACAAAAACAGGCAAATTTACTGAGTTACTTTTCTCGATGTAAGTATAAAACTCGGGCACTGTGGTAGTAGAGTATAGCTCCATCACATAGTGTTGCACAATAATATTAACTGATGACCACATACTTCGAGCACCATTTATTATTCCCACTCATAATCATATCAAGTCACTCAATCACTCACTCACACAACCTTTTTCCTTCATTTATATACATGAGTGGAATTGATGATTAGACATTTGAATAAGAATCAGTAATATAGGATAATGTACATTCAAAAATAATAATAATAATAATAGTACGAGTGTTATTGATCAATTACAATCAGATCCGAAAAAAGACGGGTGTTTCTATCGTCAAAATAAGTACTTTATTAGATAGATATAATAATAATAATAGATATTTAGACATTAATTCATCTCATCCGTTAACTGTTAAGGCAGGCTTAGTTAAGTGTCCCACAAACCGAGCAATGGCACTAAGTAGCACAAAATAAGACCTAAATGATGAAATGAAACAGATGGAAGATAGAAGGCGTTGGCGTTGAGTAACTGACTATCCTATAAAATTCATTAGGAAGATCGGAAAAGGCCAAAAGCTAAATAAAAATAATGGGGAAACTAGTAATGATAACTTACAAAAATAAGAGAGAATATGCGTTATCTACTGTTATGCCATATAAAGAGGGGACATCTGAAACCCTCCCTACGTAGGATTCTAAATAACAACAAAGCAGGAATTAGGGTGGTGGCATTTTAACCTACAAACTCAGATAGGACAAGCTTTCTAGGCTAAAAGACCTGGTGGACCCGATTAGACAAAATAATATAATTTATAAAATACCCTGCAATGACTGTGAGTTAGGTCAACTATATAGGTCAAACTAGTAGGTCGGGGGTAGTCAGATTATTGGAACATAAGAATTTAGCTAAGGTAAGAATGGTTGATCCCAACTGAGAAGATAAGTAATTTAGAAAAAAGCTCACCACTACATTGCACTGCGTGCATGCATTAACACACAACCACGCAATAGCATAGTCGGAGAGGGTTAAAATTCTAAGAAGTAATCTATGTAGGTGGAGAGAGAGAGAGAGATTGACTACTGAATCCTGACTGGTTCATTGAGTCTACACACAACACAACGCATGCAACAGAAATGATTCAATGCAAATGCCACAAATATGCATGCAAGATATTATTACCACCAGTCAGTCAGTCAGTGAAATCAGAGGAGGATAATAAATAATCTTAAATTGTATTCTATTTCAATTCAATTCACGTACATCATCACAACATTCTAACAAGTTACTCACTTATTGTGACTATAAAAGAAACACTCTGATTGTAATTGATCAGTAACACTCATTATTATTATTTCTGAATGTACATTATCCCATATTACTGGTTTGTATTCAAATGTCTAATCATGAATTCCACTCATGTATATAAATGAAGGAAACAAGAAAGTTGTTTGAGTGAGTGAGTGACTTGATATGATGATTATGAGTGGGAATAATAATAAATTGTGCTCGAAATGGCGTGTGGTCGCATCAGTTAATATTACTTACTGTATAACAAAGACTACACTGTGTGTGTGTGTGTGACAGTTTATCAAAATGAAAAATCTTATCCGTAATGGAGTTAATTTTCTATTTTCGAAAAGCAGCCTTTTTTTTACTTCTTTGTAACGTTTTTCTAATATTTCAATGTGTCACACCGATTATAATTATAATTATAGTGATAAAGTGAGGAGCACAGATTTTGCACACATTTTTTTGCTTTGTAGGTTATGAGTGTGAATTGTCAGCCTTTCTCGGTGATCTCACGAATAGACGAGGCGAAATCAAGTCAGTGGATAATGCAAACGACTACTTCAATCGGGGTAATCATGATGATGAAGATGACAAGTTCCTCGGTTCCTCGGCAAGATATCATTGTATACACGCTATAGCTCCGTTATCTGAATTAGCCAACTACTCGGCAACTGTAAGACGTTTGTCGTCTGGCCGAGCGGAGTTGAACCTTCGATTGGCCAGTTATCATCCAGTCAGTGGAGAGTTTCAAGCAAAGCTGATAAATCAAAACAAATGGTCTGGTACAAGCGTTTAGTTTTTTAAAAAGAGATTGCGTCCAGCTTGCTTCAGTGTTAACAAAGTATGCCTGCGTATGTACATGAATTAGATATTTTGTATGAAGTGTAATTTCTATGGAAAACTTTAAAAAAACCGTTTTACTACTTAAGTTCCCTGTTGTTTTTTGTTTTAATTGAATTTTAGATTTTCCCCTTGCAATTGATTGATTGGACCGAAGTGCTCCTCGGTCTCAAGTTGACATGTCTGTTGGCTTCTTCTTATGCAGATGCTTCGACGATGTCTGCACTAGAGGTGGCTCTCGTGGTCTAGTGGATAACGCTTTGACTGGCGTTTGAAACTCTGGTCACTGGGTTCGAGCCTCCGTGGTGGTGGGGAACATCATCATTGACTTACTGGGAAATCCAGGTACATCCAGCCAGCTGGCTGACGAGCCAGTCCCAAATAAGACCGGTGAAATGTGCGTCATCCTGGTCGTGGATTCCACTGCTAGTCAGTCACCATCCACCAATTAAATTCCCTTAAGCTTAGATTTCACTGCTAATCAAAAGAAAAGTGTTTGTTTTGCAATTCTATTTGTTGGGACTTAAGGGGGGGGGTATACTGGTGTTATGTACTCGTCGCCAAATTATTGTTATGTACTGGTCGAGAATTTAATAGTCCTGACGCAAGAAGGCGGAAATCAGAAGACCACTAGGTTTGCGATGATACTTCTATTTTTCAAACACAAGGAGAAGCAATAAGTGGTATCACACCAAAGTAAGTAGGTAAGTCACACAAGATTGTGTGAGCGAAATATATATGACCATCCAGACAAGTGTGTGAACAAATCAATAGACAGTCTTAACATGAATGGCTAATTATAATGAAGTATCGATCCAATTATACATAGCAAAATATAGCAGACATGTCAACAACCACCATATATGGATATATGTCACCAAGCAACGGACTGTCAACAAACACTCATATTATATTATATATAATATAAGGAGAATATACATTGTTAAAGGAGACAGGTTCATCAAAGTGAAATGGTCACAGACTAAGCGAGAGAACAGAAAGAGAGATCACCATACACACACACACACATATATATATATATATATATGTATATGGGTACATATCAACTGGACCATAGGCAGTCAATCTAATCTCCCTGTGGTTATATCATGGAAACGATTTTTGACTTTCTTATAGACTATGCCCTATTTATTTTATTTCTTTAAAACAAGCAATAAAGGTGGTTAATAAAGCAGGATGATTTAATGAGGGATTCATCAAATTTCGCTAGAACTCATCAGCTGCTCAGTACTCTGCATACACGGATGTATATACTTTTGAAATTACATTGGGAGATATAAGACTGATAAGTAAACAAACTACATTGAATTAGGCATGCAGAAAGCCAGGGGAGAGAGAGTATGAGAGATCAAAATTAAGATGAATTGCATTACGCTTCAATTACACATCACTTAGATAAACAATTAGTCATTAGAGAATATAACAAGAATTGTAAAAAGAGTAATATCAATATTAATAGTTATAATAATAATAATGTTGAAGTGAGTTAAGATTATTCCTACTGATAAAGGATAGTTTTAAGTGAAAGAAGAGAACACGAAGTTCAGCAAAGATATCTGTCTTTTCGGCGATTTCATTCTCAAAAGCAGCTGTACATTCGAATATATATACAACATTAGTTTACATGGATACAATTATTATTTGTTTAACTAATTCCACATAGTAACAAAGGTGATAATAATTTTCAACTTGATATGAAAGTCTCAAGGTACGAATGTAGATTATAGATTACAAGGGGCTTAGAGAGACAAGATTTCATAGGATTAGAAAACAGTTACAACATATGCAAAATTAATATTTGATAACTGGAGAAATAATAATTTTAAAAGCGAATAAAAGGTGACCATTATTTTTAACTTGAAATGAATTACAAGAGGCTTAGAAACGCAGGGATAGAACGAATTACAGGTGTGAATAAAATAAGCATGGAAACAAATTGAAATCAAAATTTTCAACTTGAAATGTAAGTTAGGAAGTGTGTGTGAATATAGATTACAAGAGCCTTAGGAACACAAAAATTGCACAGGATTAAGATATAATTGTAAAATTGTTATTTTAAACGAGTTCTAAATGTGAACAGGAACATTATGGAGACAAACTTAAAATAACTGTTTTTATAACTGAAAAAATTAGGTGAATCTAATGAAGACCGAGGGAGTAAGGATCAGACCCACAGTGAACGAAAAAATATTCAAAAAGAAACGAGAGAACGAAAAAAGAAGAAAAAACAGAAGCAAAAGGAACGTACCAGACTAGGTTCATGGTAGTTGTTGAGGTTGGACTAATTTCTTTTGAACACACATCTCTGGCTTCTCGATGCATATTGCGAGGGCTTCTGCAGTACAAAGAAGTCAGAAACATACTATTTTTGGTAGGTTTCTGTTGACTTTGTAAATCGCTTTGAAAGAATCAGTTGAGATGTTGTGGGAGGTGTTGATCAGATGTTTAATAATGGCACTTCTGATTGAACCGGTGCCCCCTCTTCACAGCCACGCTGGGTAATGTTCTCTAACACGTTTTGAAAAGACGCGTGTACAACGACCTATGTATCTACCTCCGCACGAGCAGGTGAACTGGTATAAGCACATTAAATTGGTCATATGCGAGAGTTTGTCCTTCCCGTTGCTCCGAAGTAGTGGGCGGCTAGGGAATATCACTCTTAGTGTTATTGCCGGGAAGGTCTTCTTTAAAGAGCTGGATATTCTCCTCTTCACGATATCAGCTACCAAATCTCCCTTGAAATTCAGATTTAGATACAGCGTTTTTCTTTGGCGCTGAATCGCATTCTTCTCTTTTTGGTGTAAGTTCCATATTCTTTTCGTCAAATGAAACAAGAATAATAATAATGGGGTAGAATAATAAGTAAAACGTATTACCATGGTAGATTCAGAGTCACGACCATCTCCTTTTGTACACAGAGACCTGGTTTATAAACTCAAATCGCACAAGCCTCCTCTGCAATTGCAAGCATCTTCTTGTTTCTTTGTCTGCTGACAATGGTGAATGACTTGACCGTGTCGGTATCATGTCCGTAGTCCACAAGATGTTTTGTTATTGAGGATTTTGGCACTTTGCACTCAGCTGTTTTCATCCATTTTGGCAAATGCTCCATCATGCGAGTAGACAATCGCCTTTCTGTACGACCTATGTATTTGCTTCCATAAACACACTCATCAAATTGATATACGCAGTTTGAAGTGTTGAGGATTGGCGACTGGTCTTTCCCAGATTGTTGAAGCACTCGCTTAGTGGTGTTAAGGATAACAAGTTTTTCAGCATAATAAGTTCGCTTGATGGCTTTGTCGAGTCTTCGTTTCACTACTTCCTGTACATCATCTCCTTTGAACGGCAAACTGATATAGACAGATTTCTTCGGAACTGTTTGGATTGTTTTGCAGGGGCTAATTTATTTGGAATATTTATTAATAAACTTCTCAGGATATCTATTCTTAGATAAAATATCCTTCAGAGATTTTATTTCATGCTCAGTAGTACTGTCAGAACAAATTTTTCGTGCTCTATTGAACAGTGTTCTGACTAAGTTTTTTTATACTGGATTGGAACAAAGCTCTTGAAATGCATGTACTGTCCTGTCCATGAAGACTTTCTAAATATAGGTCTTTCGATTGTGCCATCATTCATTTTCGCTAGAAAAATGTCTAGGAAATTAATAATATTGTTTTCCTCGTGTTCTACTGTGAAATTGAGATTTGGATGGCATGAGTTGAATTTCATCAACATGTCTTCCGCTTTTGATCTGCTTTCACAGACAATAAAAATGTCATCAACATATCTTAGGTATACATCTGTTTCTTGTATATGTTGCTGCAAGGTACCGGTTTCTACGCCTGACAAGAATAAGTCAGCGAAAAGGGGTCCCAAATGGCTTCCCATTACGACACCATCAACTTGACGGAATAGATGCCTGTCGAATTGGAATTGGACATTTTTAGTGCATAAAAGTAACAATTTCCTCAATTCCAATGTTGGAATGGGTATGTTTTCAGCTTCTTTACATATGAAGTCGATAGTCCCAATTACTGGTACATTTATGAAGAGGGAGGTAACATTGATAGAGTTCGAATGCTTATCAGATACATTGAAATCTTTAATTTGCTTGACAAACTGAAATGAATCAGAAACTATATACGTTTCGAAACGTTTCCGCAAGGGTTGCAACAGTTCGCAAAGCCACTGTGATAATTTCTTTAGGTTCCAAGTGTAACATGAGGCTCCAGCCTTGAAATTTAAAGTCTCATTAGAACTAGTGTGTTATTCTTCTGTGTCGACGGGATGGGTTCGTAAGTCTCACGCCCACCACTTTCCTGTTTACTGCGCTTACCAGCCGTGTACGTCGTTCGGAAATAGAACCTGAACCATGTGAGTAATTACCGTCTGCCATTGAACCACCCACGCCAAACTACACCAGTATCTTACATTAACTGTTTCAGGAAGGCTTTCGTCCGCTTTTGGAAGTGTGTGGGCGGTTGTAACTTCCCGGCTGCCCACACGGTGGAAGTCGCCTGATTCTTCGGGTACCTGAAACAGAGAGAGGATTAGTGTTGCGCACGGGACAACTGCTTGAGCCAGGCCGGTCACACACGGCCTGTATGAACTGGTTTCCTGGTTTGGTTCCGTATTAGTAAACTTACCGCTGGTTGCGGATCACCGTAGGGTGGTAAGTCGGGATGTACAATTTTTGGGGCCAACATTTTCTAACCTCCTCTCTCCAGCAGAGTGGAGAGACAGCATAGCTGGCTGGCATTCTGGTCATCTGAGGGAAACACCTTACTACTGTTACACCCCTGTTCCTCAGAAGTAGGACTTCGCCCTCAGACCCCCAGGAGAGTGTTAGAAAAAATTCTTACACTATACCGGTAACTGCTTTTAGTGTAATCGCTATTCTAACAACCTTCATGGCATGATAAGACCTGCAGAAACATTGGTTCCAGCCAGTGTAGCTTGTTGGGTCATCGGGAATTGTAAGCCCGACCGCCAAGTCAAGGTAGCAGATATCGGTCGGGATCCCACATAAACTAACAACCCTAGGTGGTCTGGTCAACAGTTAGACATCATCTGCCTTAAATACTTCTGTAGTGAAACCATTGGATCCTGATGCGACGTCTTTAGGCTAGGAGGACAACTTTTTCAACCCTGGCTATATAGTTAAAGAACTAATTCCTACATCGTGTATAGTTACTGATTATGATATCATTGTGATTCCTTTGGGTTCCGAGTGAAACATAGCTCTGGCGTCAACAAAACGTCTCTACTTTCTTCTATTTTCTACTGTCCACTTCACCTGAGACTGACACGATTCCCCATAGCCTCTCATATCCTCCTACAACTCACACCACCTCCTTCATGTCACCCTCTCACCGACCACGCCCACTCGTCACTTCCCATCGGGATTCCACTTGAGCGATAGATGGTCTGCATTGCGCGCGATATCATTCGACGACCTCCTCAACGTATGCTCTCAATGCATCTCCAATTTGTTCTGCATATTTGTTGAGTGATCGGCTGGCTACTGGTTGGTTTGTTCCTCACCAGCCAGAGTTTCTTGTTGCTGATTCAACCTGGCCGACCAACTGGATACTTGGTCTTCAGTATGGAGCCAGCCAGCGAATGTGGCAGCTGTTGACAGAAGTCTGCACCAGACTGTTCGTTGGAAATGCTATTCGTGATACGCCCACCAAGTTTCCTTGTTATAAACAAGAATTGACTGGCTTCGCATTTGTGTTGGAAATCCGTACGGAATCGTGTTCCCCATGGTGGTGGTGAGGCGGAGTTCAGAAGATTTCCAAACTGGTTTCAGGTTGATGAAGGCTTGCGTATCTTGATTGTCGTTCCGATTCTGGCTGGGTAGATATTCGGCCGGCCGGCTTCTTGGTTGGTTGGCTGGTTGTGACACTTTCATTGGTTCCGATCGACTGTGGTTGAAGCGATGCTTCCTAGCGGGATAAGTGAAGGAAGAAAGTGACCTCTGTGAAATGTCTCTTTCACGTTGATGGTGATTGGTGCTGTTTGTTAATAATAATAATAATAATTTGCGTTATTCAGAAACAGTACTTGTAATACAGAATGGAATTCTCAGCATTTTACTACAGTATTGCATCCACTTGGTACATTAACAATACATAAAATTCTACATAGATTATGGGTAGTCTCAGTTCGTTTCGACAACAACATTTTAGCATATAGGTCGGTAGCGAAGACAAAAGTGAACAGAGTGTTTGAAGGTGTTCGAAAAGTAGATACTAGCACATTTACTGGCGTAAGCGGTAACAAAATGGTCGAGATATAAAGACACTGTAAAAGAACGAAGAAGAATGTTTTAAGTGGAGTATGCAAGGAAGAAAGAGCAAAAACAGCACATAGGAAAAAAAGGAAAAGAAAGAAAGAAAACTTTATACATATAAAAGATATGAGTTGAAAAGACGAAATCCAGTTCTTCTTTTTTTAAGATAAGATAAGCTTTATCCCAAAACAGTGCTTGTAATACAGAATGGAATTCTCAGCATTTTACTACAATATTGCATCCAGTTAGTACATTAACAATAAATATAGTTCTACATAGATTAAGGCTATCTCAGTCAGTTTTGACAACAACATATTAGCATGTCGGTCGGTAACAAAGCCAAAATTTAAACAGAGTGTTTGAAAGTGTTAGAAAAGTAGATACTACTAGCATATTTACTGGCGTAAGCAATAGCAAAATGGTCGAGGTATACAGAGTGTGAAAGAACGAACAAGAATGTTTTAAGCAGAGTTTGCAAGGAAGAGAGAAACAAAACAGCACAAAACAAAAATAAATACAGAATGAAAAAAAAGTAGAGAGAAAACGTTGTACCTGTAAATGATGTGACTTGGAAAGACGAGATCCATTTGTTCTACTGACTACTTAATAAGTTAAAGGTTTACCGCCTAACGCTTTCTTTATCGCACAGAACTCGAGCTAAGTAGGGTATGGATGAATTTTTGTACTTGCAAGTGCGGGCATATAGTTTCCTATATAGGCTTCTGGTTTGCCCTGAAGAGATACATGGAGAGAGTTGCGAATGTAGAGGGTGTTGTGAGTCGGATAAAATGGTTTTTGCCCATTTTTCACATGAGTCCATGTGCCTGTCGACCAGAATATTAACAAGCTGGCTAAGTGGAAAAATGCTTACCCTGCTGACAACCTTTAACATCCTACGTAATAAGGTATATTGTGTTTTCAAAAGTCCCGGAAAGACTAAGCCGGAACAGTAGAGAATAATAGGCAGAATACGGAAGTTAACAAATTGTAGGCGTTAGGGTTGGGTTATTCCACAATGTCTTAACTTCTTGATGTAGAAGGTGAGATGGAAGAAATATTTCCTTAGAAATCATCAAGATATGAGACGACCAGGAAGGAAAGATCATCAGATAGAATGACGCCAAGATATTTAATTTCCGACTTGGTCTCTGTTTCAATGCCATCTATGTTGCACACCTCGTCAGTGCTAACCACCAGTTTGTTTAGGTCAGATTTATGCGTAAAGGTGAAATCGACTGTTTGACATTTAGAGGTATTTAAGGTGGTGAGACCGTTTTCCTTGGACCACTGGCTGATTTCTGATAAAATGCCATTCAGTTTGGAGCAGTCACTTTGACATTTGACAGGCAAAGATACAGTCAGGTCGTCAGAATATTTAACAAAATTAATGTCATTTGAATATGGTAAGTCATGTAGAAAGAAAGAAAGCAAAGAGAAGTGGAGAGAGTACAGCACCTTGAGGGACACCAGCTTCAGTGAGCACAGCGGAGGAGGATTTACCTTTGTATACAGGGAACTACATACTGTTTGAGAAGTAGGAATGCAACCAGTTAGTGACCCAGATCTCAATTTGTCCCATCTAGAGCTTATTTAGCAAGAGACATCTAGGTACAGAGTTGAAAGCAGAAGTGAAGTCGAGAAACGTGCAGCGGACGTATTTGGCACCTTTTTCTAATGATGAGACGATACTGTTGTGTAAGACGACTGCAGCGTCTAAAGTGCTCCTACCTTGTCTGAAGGCAAATTGTTTGGCTTCTTCAAAACTTTTAATGGAGGGTTCAAATTTAAGAAGTACTAGTTTTTCCATAAGCTTTAGAAACAGGGAAGTAATGGCAATGGGTCTGAACTTTATGTTCTTGCTATTTCCAGGTTTAGGGACAGGGACTATTTTAATGTTTTTCCATGCAACAGTTACAACGTTTTTGGAAAAGAAGCATTTATGATGTCAGTAAGTGAAGAACATAAAGCATCTGCACATTGTTTTAGAACATAGGCAGGTACACCATCAGGGCCAAGGCTACGTGAGTGCTTAGGCGTTTTAAGACATTTTAGAACATCGAGAGTTTTACAGTCCTGAAAGTTATCAGCCACGTGATTAGTAGCTTTAGAAGTGGTTATTGTAGAAGGAGAGCGTATAGAAGACTGAACTGATTAAGAGCGTTAACATGATAAGAGGGAAAAACATTGCATGGCTTACTGTTGCCAGTAATTTCATTGAAAAGTTTCGACATGCTGATAGGAGATTTGCATGATAAAAGTGTATGGTTATACATAGCATTGAGATTTTTGATTTCAGATTTGATTAAAGTGTTAATCTTTTTAAGTCCTAACTTATCTCTGGATTTATATAAAGTTTCTTTTTGCTTGCGTAGTTGTTTGAGACGAGAAGCTATTGGTTGGCCGGTTGGTTGGTTGGGTGGTTGGTTGGTCATCTTCATCACCTCCACCACCGTCTCCACCTTCTCGATGTTCATCACCTGGATGAAGTCCTGTCTTCGCCGACTGCTTCGTCGGTCAGTTTTGTTCCAGTTTTCGCCTGCCTCTAAGTCTTCGTGGCAGTTTGTGTTTGTGTGTCATTCAGAGGCATAAATCATACACACGCGAAATCCAGATCTTCTAGATGAAGTCTTCTCATCGGTCAGCTCAGCGTATTCCTGTCTCCTCACTCACTGCCAACGCAGAGTCTGGCGCATAATCTAGTCCAGTCCAG